AATTCCTGCCTCAACATTAAAACTAACACAATCGAGATAATTCAATGTTCATTAAGATAATTTATAATAAATATTAAGTGCACAGACAGCACTGTTTAGTCTGAACTGGGACTTTGAGAGAAGTCGACTCTTGTGGTAACATACTGGATTGCATTACTTTCTTGTGCATTTGTTTTGTTGTAGTTGGCTAAGCGTTTTGTTCAATATTTGCTTGTGTTGTGGTGGGCATAGGTGACTTGGAGTAGATTTTTGGCTATGTTCCTTACAAGTGTTTATTTATTGCACAATTTATAAATAAAGTGTTACTGTGTTACACTTAGTCCAAGTCCCATCAATGTTTAAGTAAAAACTACATTCACAACAGTGAATTACTAATTACCACTGTCTTCATTTCAGTACCTACATACATGTAATGCGCCATGTGAGATGGACTGTGGTCAAGTCCGGGCACTTTTTGATTGACTACGACAGTCGTACAGACACAGTGTACGCATGGCATGACACTGGTTTGTGTAACCCCCCCTAATATCTCCATTCATAACTATGAAGCTGTAAAAAGGTATATAAACGAGTGTGATAACGGTAACCCCTTCATGATATAACTCAGGCACAAACACCTTGACTGACAGCAAAGTTAAAAACAACAACAACACAGGCATGGCATGTAAAGGCCGCCCGGCCTAACCTTCGCAACCGGCTAACAATTTAACAACTTAACTCTTAGCTCACAGGCAAGTCATCAATGGTAGACTTTACCCAAGTCAATTTTTTGCCGGTTTGTGATCAGAAACGTCTTCTAACAACACTGCAAGACATCTACTCAACACTAATAACTAACAAGGTTGGCCACAAGGACGACGTGAATGTTAGTTTGCTAAATGTTAGCTTGCGAAACTTGATTCAGCAGGCCAGCAATGACCAGGAAGGAGGCTGAAACTAGCTAACGTTTACGACATACAAGTTTCAAACCCATAACGCCATCTGGGTCGCGTTCCACGCTTCTGTTTCCTATTCTCGACACTCCCCTCGCTCCCCGGCTCGTTAAGGTTAACCTACATTACCCATCTCCCAGGCTAGCTAGCACACTTAGCTAAAGATACGGAGCTCCTTCCGCTTATATGTCAGCGTTGTTTTGGTCAGTTAAAACAGAGTAGTGCATATGTTCTGAAGAGAGAAGACCAACTCCAAGAGTCCGTTATGATTAGACACCAATTCTCCCGGCAGCCATAATGTGCCCCCACGAAATTTCACTGCAACCTCGCTGCTAACACTAGCCTACGTTAGCTAGGATGAGCTGCAAACTAAGGAATTCTCGGCTAGCTAACATTAGCTAGCGGTGAGCTGTCATCGTTTTTAATCGCAAATCCCGTCTCTGCTTCCACCTCCGTGCTAAAGCACCTTCTTACCTTCATGACGGGACATCCTAGCGCAGCCCCTTGCTCGGGCTCCTTCGCCTTGCAATGCAAAATAATATGAGTGAAGAGAAGAGAAGCCGGGGCTGGCTGGCTCTCCCTGGCCTCTTCCCTCATGAAGGATCCGGTCTGGCTCGCTGCCCCCTCCCTCTCCTTCTCCCTCCGCCTCCTGCTGTGTCACTGTCCAGTGCATTGTCACTCCATGCACACGGTGGCGCTGTTGTTCCATTTTATTTTTTTTTTTACCACAAATGCTGCTTTGGGTCGCTTGTGGATGAACTATAGTGACCTTAGTTCTCACTTTTTTAATTTACCGTGAATTTCAGCATTGAAAATTCTCACAAGTGTTTTTTAAATCATTAAACAGGAGGTGCAACTGGAGTTGGAACAGTTGAAGATAATGAGATTTTCATTGTGTGACCAGGAAGGACGGGATTAAAGTGAGGAAGAGCTCCGGTTGAGCAGGTTCATGAATGTAGTAAAGGACAACATTGAGCGGGTTGGTGTGACAGATGACTGGGTGTTAGGGATAGTTTGAGATGGATGCAGATGAGGTGTCGTGACCTCTAATTATTGCTCATTCCAGTTCTACCCACTTTATTTAATTTTTAGCATCATCAAACAGCCACAGCATTAGAATAACTGACAGATTAGGTGAATTTTCATCATTGCCTTACAATGAAATGTTATGCTGGGTCAGGATATCAGGTGGAATAATCTGCTCCCACCAAACCAGATCCAAATCTCAAAGGATCCTCTTCCAACGCCCCCAGATCCCGGGCCATCAGGATCACTAACGACTCCAGCCATCCTGCTTACAAACTGTTCAGGCCACTGAGGTCAGGGAAACGCCTCTGTAGCCTGAAAACAAGAACTGAAAGGTTCAGGAGGAGTTTTTACCCACAAACAGTGAGACTCCTCAATCAAAACACAAATCGGACAACATGATGGACAATTCCATACACAGTATATAATTTTCCTTTGAGTTTTATCCTTATTTTTATTTGTACTTTATCATATACATCTGTATTTATGTAAATACGTACACTATAGCTCTTAACTATTACAGCGTAATATTTTGCACGATATTATACATTTTTATACTTTTATATAGATATTTTTTATTATAAGTTTAGTAAGATGCACAGTCGGGGGGGGAGTACTTTTTAGCCGGAAAAAACATTTCACTGTGTGTTGTACTAGTTATAACTACATGTGACAAATAAATAAAGAATTGAATTGAGATCATACATCCCTGTCCTGGTGCCAAAGCTTGTTTGGTGTGTGCCCATACAATATTAGTTGGGAGGCTTGATTTGATCATGTCAGCTACTGTCAGATGCTCCCTTATTCACAAATGGTCACCACAGCGGGTTGCTCAGCATGATGATTTGGCAGACGTTTATACACCAGGTGTTGTTCCTGATGCAACTCTAAAGGGATCTACTCCCCAGACCAAACCAAGGATGACCACACATAACGTCAAAAGGTATTTAATCTTGGAAGTTTGTTATTTAGTCATTTATTTTTATTCAACACACCAAGACTGAGACATCTAAAAGCTTTGTGTGTGAGTTCTGCTGAGAAGCTGCTGCTGCCAGGATGTCATCTCAGTGGTCTGCCAACACTGCAAGCTTTGTTCTAACTTCATGGCTCAAAATTGAAGTTTTTGACAGTAATTTAAGGAAGGAGTAACGGCTGCACTAGATGAAGATGTTTAAATTATACTGGAGAACTGCTGATTATTTTTGTATTTCACAGTGCCTCATTGTTGCTTCTTGCCAGGCAGACCTTGTAGAGCGAAATCAAGACAGGTCAGCAAAGTGCAGAATCAAACTGGCTCACACATTTGGCAGCTTGCTGAGGTATGTGGATGGAAAGAATAACTAATTGTGCATGCAAAGCTATTTTAAATTTGGCGCAAATGTCCAACATCAGCTTGATTCTGGGAAGTCCACAAGCTTTTCTTTTCTTTTTTTTAAATTTTTAATAAGAAGCAGAAAAAAATAAGTTTATCTGGTAAAACATATGTTGACCTCTAAACTACAATCTTTCTAATTTTATTATTTCCACAGCATACAGAGAAATGTTTAGTTTTAGACCTCAAACACCTTGGGGAACTCTATAATACCCCATGAAATTGTATCTCATATTTACTTATTTGCCAGAGGTGAAAGAACACAGGGCAATGCTCTACTACTGGAAAGTTTCCAAACATGCACAGACGTCACAGAGGTAATCATCTGACCCACGCCTTTTTTTCCACATAGATCTCACACAGCACAGTGTGATACCTATATTAGCACAGTATATGGGCTTGGAAAGTAAATAAATACTTTGCAGATCTGCATATCTATGTCTCCAGTCTTACCAAACAACTTAACAACATAATTCCAGCCAGACTCATCACATGCACCTGAAGTCCACCAATCATATTATATCTATTCACATCCAGCGTTGCTGGCTCCCCATTCCCGAACGCATCCAATACAAGATTCTGCTCCTAAACTTCAGACCATTTTGGCCTTGTCTTTTTAACTTTGTCATCAAAGCGCTCAACTTAAGCTATAGCCCTCTGATATAATCATTTCTGATCCTGTACGTTCTGGTCATTTTCAGGTGAAATCTTAGCATCTTCAGCTTTGCCACCTCCAGGTTTACTCCTCAATTTACGACTCACAAAGACAGTGAATTTTTTTTGTTATAAGGCAACCTTGAATGTTTTGAAAGGCACCTGGAACCCTCAGGGGATCAAGTAATGTAGTATTGAGTCAGTCAGGTGCATTGTCTCATCTTATCACTTGAACTTTAGTGCCCTACTGAAATCAAAACATATACTTTCCTATACATTTTTATATAAATGGGTGTTAAAAATACGAAAAGTTACTTTGGACTGCCCTTTGTCACACAGTGTCACGCTCCTCCATTCAAGAATACATTTTAGTGTGTCTTCTGATTTTTTTCAAAATTGTAAAAAAAAAATTCAAAAAGGACATAATTTCTTGGTCAATTTGTGCAGTGAAGCACTATGAAGGATATGGGTTATTGGCATTTCCATCACTGCTTGTTTCAGTGCACTGATGGCTCATTGTTAGTTTTTCATTAACGTAAAGCTGTACTGTGTGTACCCTCATTTGATTGCACGATGTGATAGATTACACACGCAGTGACATCTTAGACAGACAGACAGACAGACAGACAGACAGATAGGATCTGTGTAGTTATAGTGCCTTAAGGTAGTGAAAAAAGCAAAATAAAACATAAGAAATTGCGCTGTAACTATTTGCAGAGATGCGTAAAAACTTTTTTAGATGTCAGGTATCAGGCGCTGTTGGGGTAGCAGATGACACTTCCAGCTGGTGATGTGTGCACACAAAAAACAGTGGTGTCACTTTAACAGGGACCTTTGCGTGAGTGCACCCATTCTTCGTCTCATCAACTGAAACTGGCTTGCGAGCTAAGCTGATGATTTGGCAGCATGCCAGGCAGGGGGAGAGAGACCCCTTCCTTCTCCATACAACCAGCAGCCTTTTAAATATTCCTATAAGAGCTCCCATTGGATATTCTTTGTATGACTGGATTTTTTTTTAATGTTGGTATTGTAAAAACGCCGTCTCGTTTCAGTGCGTCTTTCAGCGTTCAACTGTTTTTTGGTTTTTGTTTGCTTGTTTCTTTTTTGAGAAGGAGCGCCTCCTGGATTCCTGGAACATTTCTATTTGAAGTGCTCTCTGGATGAGCAAAACATAAAAAATAATTTAAAAAAGAAAGAAAGCGTATTTTCGCATTCTCTTTGGGTGTCTCGGAGTTTTCTTGAATTTTTGTCTGCATATTCCTTTCGCGTCTTTTGTCATATGTTGCCTATTTTTACCCTCATCTGTCCGGTAAGAAAACAAAGACGGGAATTGTATGATCTTCAGACCAATACAAAACAATTAATTGCGTCTGACGCCTATACACCCTTTAAGGGTTAAAGTGAGATAGGCTACTACGATTCATTCAACCTTTCCACGCCCTCAACGTAAACAAATGGGGGCTTGACCAATAAGATCCGCCATAGATCAGCCGATGATCAGATGACCGAAAGGAGAAACTATTTAAAACTGTAATGACACGCTTCATTCACAGCTTACACATTTCTGGAGCCGGTTCTTAACAGGCGCACACGAAAACGCATCACCGGCTCTTTTGTTACCACTGAATTTCAATCGCTCACCAGCGCACCTCGTTGCCGGCAGTACTACCAAAAAACATTTTATATCCTAAGAAAGCTTTCATTTCGTCCACACTCATCTGTGGCTGAGAAATGAATCATAAAAGCGTTTTAATCAGGATTTTCCTACTATGTGCTTATCCGCTTTTTTCATCAGCAACTGAGGAAAACGCCGTTCTTAAAGGTAAGAAATGGCTTTTTTGTCTATTCATTCGCTAATTGCTCTCTAAAATAAAGGGAGAGGGTGAAAACCTCACGTCTAGCATACAGCGGGGTATATATCATACGCCTGAGAAAATCCTAAAATTCTCCCACGTCTCGCTTGATTAATGCGCGTCATTTTTAGACTAAATTACACATTTGAACAAGTGTGGCGGGCAGAGCAAAGCAGAAAAACTGGAATGGATTTAAAGGACACGAGGGCGACATGTCCTTTTTGGAAGGAGTCTTCAAGTAGAGCCAGGACACAACGCCACGTCTGTGCGCTGCCCTTGGAAAGATGTCCTGCTGAATCCGCGTTTTACTGCAGACTTCACGAGATCGTTTTTATTACCCAGCTCAGCTGAAATCATTTTGGTCTGTGTGGCCCATTGGGGCGTTGAGTTCATGTTGAGCACACTGTGAAGTTCCTTGACACAATGTGCGATGTTGGCTATAACTAAAACTGATCTTTACTTGCTGCGAGGGTAAACCAGACTTCATTCGGTTCATTAAGAGCGTAACACAATGAGACTAAATTAAAAGTCCTATTCAAAACCAATTCGGACTGTACAGCTTTAAAATCAAGCACGGCTGCAATTATTTTTAAACTTGGAAACAGTCGGCTTCTTTCACCAGGCGTTTTAATCTCAGGCTTGAGACAGGTATGCTAAGTTGTAGCATAATTATGAGCTGTAGCTGCAGATTTGTGAAAAAGATGAACTGAAGAAGCATAGCGATGACTTTACTGCTTCTTGAGTCCAGCTTGCACCTAATCGTTGTTCAAGAGCAAATCTTGGCAGCAAAAGCAGGTTTATTTTGTTTTTCAGCCCCTAAAGGCTGAAAATAAAGACAATATAAACAGTCAATTTTTATATTTATTATTGTGCATTTTTCTCCTCAGGTGAAGACAGTGGGCAGAATGACTTGTCAACAGACAGCCACTCTGTTGCTGGCATCATCAAGTACAACATGAGAAAGAGCTTAGATCTGGAGCAGGAGGGCTGCTACCTGAAAACTGGCAAGAATGACTGTCTAGAGAAATGTGGCTTCAATGCTACAGCCAAGACTATCTTCATCATCCATGGCTGGACGGTACATATGAATGATAATTTATATCTATCTGTTAATAAGCATCTGTGTAGTTTAGGTTATTTCTTTGGCTTCCTAGGTCACTTTCTTGACTTCAGAGTGAATCAAGCTTAAATGTTTTAACTATTTATTTTTGATTGTTGGGGGTAGCAGAAAGATGCTTACATAGTTAACAGTCTGACCAATGACTGACTTCTGCTGTCCTTTCCTCTTAGATGAGCGGGATGTTTGAACACTGGATGCACAAGCTCGTCTCTGCATTAATGCAACGTGAAAGTGAAGCCAACGTGGTGATTGTTGATTGGATATCAAGGGCCCAGCAGCTATACCCTGATGCAGTCAACCACACTTATGGTGTTGGCCTTGATATTGCAGCGCTGCTCAACTGGCTTCAGGTATGTACAGTAATTTAAAGAAGCTCCCACCCACCCAGAGTACCAAAACTAAACATTCAAATATTAGTAATGCTTCAGTGGGTTTCTATTCAGCCTTTTCTTTTTTTTAAACTATAGAAAGTGAAAACTGATGTGCAACTACTTAATTGTAACATCCCAGTGGACACCAAGGTGCACTCGTGCATAACTTTATCAAAGGCAAAATGGCTTCATTTGCAGAACTGATGTATAAATGGCTTTCATCATAGCCTTAAAGTGTAACATTGTGCTTCTGATATAGTACAACATGGTTGCTCCATTTCTGAAATCTCTTTTTTTTTTTTTTTTTTTTTTTTAGCGTAATATACTTTGTTTTTTTGCTTTGCGTACCTTTTTGTTTGTATGGTTCGTTTTCCCAATTTCCAAATAAGATCAGTGCATTTAGCACTTCTAAGGCAAAGACAACAATTCCCATTCAGTGGGACTGTTACAAAATTTTATCAGTAAATAAAAGGCAATTCAGAAAGCGTTCAGGCATCTTGCCATGTAGTTGTAAATGTAGACAAAGAGTGTCACTGAGACAGAGGGTGGAGGCGCTGCTCCATGGAAGGAACTATCAGTGGATTCTGTTCGGGTTAACTGAGCCTGGCTCAGCTGCAGGCACAACTCATCATTGGCTGAAATCCAGGCTCTGTCCATTGTAGGCCACTGTGGCAGCAGCTGACATCTTTATATATATATATTTTTTATTGTTTCCTGAAACAGGATGAGCACCAGCTCCCTCTGGAGAATGTCCACCTGATTGGTTATAGTTTAGGTGCTCATGTGGCAGGCTACGCAGGAATGCATGTACGAGGGACCATTGGCAGAATCACTGGTAAGTTGGAAGTAATATGAGCCAGAAAAAATAGCCCTTTAATTTGAGGGTTGCCTCATTTGCTTGACCTTTCTAATCTTTGTTCTTCATAGGTCTAGACCCAGCAGGACCGATGTTTGAGGGCGTGGAGAAGGAGAAGCGCCTCTCACCAGATGATGCCGACTTTGTGGATGTTCTGCACACATACACTCGGGAGGCTTTGGGTGTGAGCATTGGAATCCAGCAGCCAATTGGGGACATTGATATCTATCCTAATGGCGGTGACGTGCAGCCGGGCTGTGGACTTGGGGACGTGCTGGCAGTGGCAGGAAGTAAGTGGCTGAAAGTCTTTACTTTTGCACGTATCCCCTATGTTTAAAAAAAAAAAAAAAAAGAAGAAAAAGAATCCTACTGACCTTTAAACTATAATCTACTATACTCAACTTTTCTAGATTTCATGGAGGTGATGAAGTGTGAACACGAGCGCGCTGTGCACTTGTTTGTGGACTCTCTGATGAACAAGGAGCACCTGAGCTATGCCTTCCAGTGCACTGGGCCCGACCGCTTCAAGAAGGGAATCTGCCTGAGCTGTCGCAAAAACCGCTGCAACAAAATTGGCTACAATGCCACAAAAATGCGCAAGAGGCGTAACAGTAAAATGTATCTGAAAACCCGGGCTGACACACCTTTCGCAGGTGAGATACAAGAAGAATGAAATGTGTGAAATGTTATGACGTGTACTTCCTAGAGCAAAAGTGATAAGCAAGTACTATAACCCAATCTGTTTTCATATCTTTAACCTCTATATCTAACTTGTTTTATGATTTTACAGTTGCAGTGTAAACTACTACTGTACACACACCTACACTAGATCAAGTATTAACTCTTGCTTTTTGTTCAAGGCTACCACTACCAGATGAAGATGCACGTGTTCAACAAAAAACAGTCTGATGATGCTGATCCCATCTTCAATGTCAAGTTGTATGGCGAGCACAAGGACACAGCTGATATGTTTGTTGACGTGTAAGTTCAAAACCTAAACCCTTCCTGCCAAACCAGTCTTCTTTCACAATGTCTCAACATGACAACGTGTAAATCGCTAACGGCTCAGTTACAGTCCTTCTGTATGCACAGTGTGGTAGTTGTTTTTGACTGAATGTTGTACTGAGAAACAATCAGATTATTTCTATACATTTAGAATTTTCAACTCGAGTGCTTGTTCTGAATTTTTTCAAAGTGGTCTTGGGCTGTACAACAAATTTGGTGGCAGACTGAAGCGAACAGCAGTTTTCATAAATATACAAGCGTGCCAGGGCAATATGACAGCTCTCTGAAGACTGTTTATTTTAGAGGTCTACTTTAGTTGCAAATGCTTTATCTTAAAAAATGGTGGACTTAAACACAGCTTCCTTTTAACGTGGTTTTTTTTTTAAAACAAATTTCTTACTACTTGTGCAGCCGCGATAACACCATTGGTCTGAACATGACAAACACCTTCCTGGTTTTTGCCGAGGAAGAGATCGGTGAAGTGCTCAGGATCCGTCTGAGTTGGGAAGGAGAATCCGACTCCTGGAGCTCTATGTGGAAAAACATCAAGAAGAATTTCTGGGGCTGGAACGCCAACCCTTCCAAACCCGTGCTTGAAGTTCGTCGGATGCGTGTGAAAGCTGGAGAATCACAGAAAAAGTGAGCTGAAGGGTCAAAACTGCAGTTGCCAGTCTTAATGGTGCAGAATTAATTTTAATTAATCTGTTCAGACACTGACTGATGCTTTGTGGTGTTACAGGTATGCTTTCTGTGCCGAAGACTCTTCAAAAACAGAAATCTCTCCAGGGGAATATATCAATTTTATTAAATGCCCTGATGGCTGGGATGCGAAACCGAGAAAACGGTATGAAAAGTTGAAAAACTGGAAAAATTCAAATTTATCATTACCTGGTCCTGTAACTTAAAGTTGTGTTTATGGTGTATGTAATTATTCTGCTCTTTCTGATCAACAGGGTTCCCATGTAACAATTCGGCTCTCCCAACAACCAATGCACCATCACCATGGGGGAATCCAACATGAATCAGGAAGAAGCTGTGCCCTCTGTATTTGAGCACTTAGGCTTAATCAGCACGTGGTGAAGGGGGAAGTGGGGAAGGTTTCCACTGACTTCTGAAAATAAGAACGATGGGTTTCTCTCAGCATGCGGCGGTTGCAAAATGGTGCACAGCCTGGAAGTGGTGGCACTCTCAACTGTGTGGGTTGCCTGAGAAGTTACAGAAAGTTCCTCTGTGTGGACTAGTGAAGTAGAGATTTCTGCCAGTGGACACACCAGCAGTTATAGTCACTGTACTGTACAATTTTTAAAATATTTATTTATGAATAAATGAAAGCACTGCAAGACAACCTTATTTATCAGAGCACACCCCATAATGGAGCGCATGTTGAATGAGTTTCTTCGAGATGCAGTATTTGTGTATTAATGTGCGTGTTTGTACCTGTGAAGTGTGCCTTTCTGCTGAAAGAGATTACTGATACACTGTTTAATTGAAGGAGATGTCAGTCTTATTGGATCCTGCCTTTCTGTGCTTTTGTGTGTAGTTACTGTATGTGACTTACTTTTGAGGGGATGTGTCTGTACATAATGTAAATACATTTGTTTCTTTTGGAGAAATAAATTCACACTTTGTTTGTAGCAGCTTGTGCCTTGTCCATCATTTCAAGATTAAATCGGTGTTGTGGCCTACTCACAACATAGAAGATGAAACTATTTAACCTGAAGATTCACTCTGATTTTTCAGTAATCAGAGCATGTATATTTGTCACACTGTCATGTTCATGTGACATTTCTGTATGACTCAACTTTAGGAGAACGCTGAAAGTGAATGTTTTCTGAAAAAGACTCCACTACTGCTTGTGAGAACATGCTTTTACAGCTCACACTGCAACTGATGCTTGAACTTCAAGCGCGCCTGTTACCTCCTGTGAGGATTCACTTTATATTTGAAATATAAGCTGAACACCTTTCATTATAAAAGGAGTTTGATGCTATTCTGAGAAACTAGAAGAAATGGCTAAATGTCATGGGGTAAATTTGCAGTGTAGTACACTCTGATTTCTGCTCTGCTTGTAAAATTTGTTTTTTTTTCTCAGGCCTTGAAAGATGTCAGGAGAAACGTCAGCATTGCTTCCTCTAAGCTATAGTTTCTGAATAAACAGGAAAACCTATGACACTTCATGGTTCATAGCATACAGTGGCATGGTTCAACCATGGCATAGGTTGAGCTGAGCAGAATTTTTTTTTGTTTGTTTGTTTCTTGTATACATGTTGACTCACTTTATTCTGCTGTAACACAACACGCAGTTAATATCCAACTGGATGTGTTCCTTCCACAAGCTTTTCCAGTCTTTAATGAGACATCCATTTACTGGAGCAGGAGCAACACAAACACACACACACTCACTCACTTTTTTCCCATCATATTACTCCTTCACAAACATCTACGTCACAACTGCTATCCTGTGATGTTTCACTGAAATTCTTTGAATACATTTAGACCCTTGATATCATTCGGTTGCCTTGACTAAACATGGGAAAAGAGTGTAATAAGCTGACAGATGTGTGTGAAATAGTGTACTTGAAGATTTCTAGGTCTAGTAATGCCTTCAGATGTGCTGTATGTAACGTGAGATGGGTCCTTGTGATCGTCGCTGCTGCCTGGCAGCTATTTACGTATGATCTATATCAAGACTTCCTATCTCTGTCAAAGTTTTGTTTTCCTGTTCTGCTGTCTGATTGCTATCTTCAGTGGTTACTTTTGCCTGTGTACAACTCTGCTGACCCATTTTCACCAAGACAAACAAACATCTGCTCAGAAAATGTCTGTGGTTAAAGGCATGAAGCTGGTTTTACCACCACGCTAAGCTGACCACACAATATTGTTTCAGTGACTCACTCCAGTTTCATAGTCATAGGGTATTTTAATGCCATTAATGTCGTCTGCCTCCAGAATGGAAAACAAGCCATAGCCTTTAGCTTTTAGTCACTGTTTGAAACATGTCTTTTCTATAACTGGAACTTATTGGCATCTTGACTTATTCAGAAATGATGAAAATGCAAAGGAATCTTAACCTCAGTACAGACAGAACATTTTCAAAACCTCTGATGGTTAAATATAAAATGCCAAACAAACCTTGCGGTGGTTAAACTTCTGCTTTCTTGGTGTTTTGTAAACTGATGTTTTATTAAATTTTTATTTAATTTAATGATAAAAAACTGTCAGTTTTGTCATTTTGTGTCCACCAATTTTCACCATCACACCATCACCATGGTGGAGCCATAACAACCCATGATATAGAAGTTTTAAAACAATTGAACCTGAGGATTCTCTTTGATGTTTTGTTAATTCAGATATTTTCTGTTCATGTTTGGATTAAGGCATCGAAACAAGTACTTCGCACGCACATTTGAAACTCCTGCACGACCCATCGTTATGAGAAATTTGCAAACGAAAGTCATCTTGAAAAGTGAATCTGCTACCATATAATGCACTTGTGAGTGTATGCACGTGCCAACTAGCAAAAAAGAAATTGTCTTTTTCTTTGAAGTTTATCATCTTTGTCTGTAGATTCTGTTTCTGAAAGTATCAAGTGTTTACAATTTCCATGAAATGTATTTAACGTTAGCATGCTTGTACCCGATATCGTCAAATAAATACCACAATTCAGGGGATTTTCCACTTACAAAACTGAAACCATTATTCTCAGAACACGAAACTCCCAATAAGCCACTTCCATGCAGTGAGTGTTTTGCAATGATGTTTTTGAGACTTTATACAGGACTATTGAGAAAAAGTTCTGGATCCATACTGTTTCCACAAAGTATAAGTTACAAAAACATTCAGACACAGCTTCCCCACAGCTATTTGACATCGGTCATGGCCTTCCAAATAAGCATACAGGCAGATTACATACTACCTCACAAAGCCACTTTAACTGGTTAAAGTAGCGAGAAAATGAAAATTTGCTTTTCATTTCCTCATACACCTTCTCTCCTCTACACCAAAACAAAATAATGTGCTTGGCAGCTAAGCACATTATGCTGTGACAGATATTAAACCCTCTCTGGGTTTGATATCTGTCACATCTAAGCAGTGACAGATATCAAGCTGGTTTCTTCAAAAGTGCAGAAATGTAACCAAGCATGATCACAGTGACAGTGGTACCAGGTTAATGTTATGTCAGTGAACACCTTATTAAGCATGTTGGCATGTTTCCCGGCATTTGGATGAGAACATCAATGTATGCACCAAGTTTGTGTTTATCCACTCTCTAACTATTAAAAACTCTCACTCACAACCTTGAACGTAAAGTCAGAGGATTACCAAAGTCAGCGGGATTTGGGGGAATCTCTTCCAAATTTCACGTCATTTTTAAATACAAAGCTGTTCTACTGTCATGAAATTAAAAGACTCAACAAGAAATAGCAGAACAAGATGAATAATCAGCCACAGACCACATGCTTTATGTGTGTGTTTATATTTCGCCAGTGTATGCTTGTTTAAATGGGGCCTGGTCTCTGAAGCAGAAATGTGATTAAAATAGGTTTTAGGCAAACCTGTCCTACATTTGCAGTCCAGCTGTAATTCATTTGTGCATGTCCTGGAAAATCTAAATCTAAATATTTTTATTGCAAGGTCCTGCAAGCAGTGGCTCTGTAGTTTCTCCCAGCAACACAACATGAGCTGTCCTGTGTTGTTGGTTGCCCTGGAGCCACGTGCCTTGCAGATTAAAGGGTGGCTGTGCGTACATTGCCACATGTTATGTTGTTGGCATTATACCAGTGACTGCAGTGCGATCAATAGCACAGAGTGGTGGCGGGAAGCGGGGGAGTTCACCTCACATGACCCTATAGCCAGGAGGGAGGAACCACTTTAACCTTGTTTCTAGGGCGTTCAATGACATCACAGTGGTCAATTAGAGACACTTTGAGCAGAAATGAATGTTGACCTCTCTGGGTTTACGGTACAAAGTGTGCTGACGGCTCACTGGTTTTGGCAAGCCAGCCTGGCATGAGCGGAAAGCACTCTGAGGTCACATGTACTAACTCTGTTTCCAAGGAAGACATCTGCTACATTTTCTAGGAGATGTTACAAAGTTGGTGAAGTTGGGCCTAAAGCTGTACCATCTCCGAACAAGTAATTGTCTACACATTGAAGATGCTATAATAAAAGGCTGGCAGGTTAAACTAGATTAGACAGCCATAAAATATTCTTTACTTTACCTGTGACAAACTTGCAGTTTATTTTCACTTTTGGCCATAATACAACAAAGTGAAGTGAGGATGGAGGGATATTTACTTGATTACAGCTGCTGCCTTGTATGAAAGACACTTTTTTTGTTTGTTTGTTATGAAATAGGCTAAATTTTATTTTCCCACCCCACCTTATCAAACAGAAAATCAAGATTATTCTCAAGTGCTATGCTAAGCAATGAGGGGAAGCTGTGACTGGGCATTCATTGCAACTTTTTGAACTGCTTTTAACCCCTTTTCTTGTTACAGTGTTCTTGCAGGTTCACAGAGACAATGAACTCTGATATCCCTGAACCAAATCCCAGATCAACCCCAGAAAAAAAAACAATTACCTTACTGTGTCTCAAGAAGAGGTTATGGACAAAGTTGCTGAAATGTACAACACAAATAACTCTTTTTTTGTTTATGTTTTTGCTGCCAGTTGACCTGATAGAAAGCTGACATTCTGAAGTGACACTGCAAACACAACAAAGCTGATTTGTGTTAGATCGTTACCATCTTTGTTTCTATGGTGACATAGACACTGTAGTTATGAGGTGGATTATGAAGACTGTGGTCCAGACTTTAGGTTGTCTTTTATGATTTTAGTGACCTTTGGTTTTTTGCATTTAGTGCCATCTTCAGGTTACAGTAGTAGATACTAGGATTGACATGTTTAATGTCAAAGTTATTGACATGGTTATTAGCATTACGATAATGGCTGCTGTAATTTTATTTACAAAACCTCACTGTAAATGAATTAACAGCAACACTTTTTAATGTAAATGATATTGCAGAAAAGTTGCTGTAAATTATTTTTACATAAACTTCATCTAGCTGCTAGTATTTAAAAATGACAAATTTGATGGAATGTCCACTCCCAGGAATGTTGCAGTATTGTCATACATGAATGCTCCAGACCAGCAAAGTGCAAAAACCTCTGCTTTTATAGTGCAAGGAGCAATGTGGCACAGCAACCGGCTTCTACTTACTTTCAAATTAACATGCAGTGGTGTTCTTCACAGGACTGTACAGGACTTCATATGATCATATCTTTAATGCTGGAAGAGAACGCAAATATTTGTAAATTGTTTTCATTGAGATTTATCGGATGATTTTTTTTATGTATAAAATTTTGTAAAACAGTAATTTCCCAACTTTTGTGGTAAATAAAGTGTTTTTACTTATTTCTCCTTCTTCTTATTCTCCTTCAGTAATAAATGTGATCTTGCTTGGTTCCAGTTTAGAGCATTATGACAGTCAGCAGAATTCTGGTGACAATAAGTACAAAGCTACTTTCCCCAAAATCGTCTTCTTGCTGTATTTATTGTTTTGCCCATGGACAGTGGTGCGTGTTGTGCACATGCTAAATATATTGACGTCAGATGGAAAAATGTGTTCAC